GAACGCGACGGGTAGGGGCAGGGCAGAGCGCGGGCAGCAGGGCGGCGCGCAGGCTGCAGAGGGCGGCGCGTGGGCAGGCAGGGGCGGCGCGCGGACAGGCAGGGGCGGGGCGGACGGGCGACGCGGCGGACTGGGGCAGCCCGCACGGGCGACGCGACGGGCAGAGACAGGGCAGACGGGCGATGCGACGTGTCAGAATGTTATAATTGTCTAGCCTGCAGTGGGGTACTCCATAGTGAGTACAGCCCAATTAGGGTTTGCTATATGTGTCCAACTGCTTGCTAGTGAACACCCTCCTTTCTTCATTCTTACTTTCTACTGCTAGTTCTGACATGCTATCAGAGCAGGTCGATCCCCTTGGGTCGATCCTGTGGGTGGGCCCACCACCTCACTGCTTCCGCTGCTACTGCTACTCTGTGTGTTGCACGCCCCGTGGCGTGCGACGGATTTTTCATCCCGCCGCGCGCTCGGAGCGTGCGGCGGTTTTCTGCCCGCCGTGCGCCCCGAGGCGCGCGGCGGTTTTCTGCCCGCCGTGCGCCCCGAGGCGCGCGGCGGTTTTCTGCCCGCCGTGCGCCCCGAGGCGCGCGGCGGCTTTCTGCCCCGTCACTCCGCGCGTCGCTCCCGGGAGGCGCTGCGACGGGCGACGGGGACCCGCGCGTCGCCCCCCGTCGCCCGTCGCGGCCTGCGCGACCTGCGTAGGGCCCGCGCGCGGCCCGTACAGCCTGCGCGCGGCCCGTACGGGCTGCGCCAGGCCCGCGCGCGGCCCGTACGGGCTGCGCCAGGCCCGCGCGCGGCCCGTACGGGCAGCGCCAGGCCCGCGCGCGGCCCGTACGGACTGCGCCAGGCCAGGGCGCGCCTCGGGCCGCCCGCACGCGGTTCGTACGGGCTGCGCCAGGCCCGTGGGCGCCCTGTTTTCTCTGCCCCTGCGCTGCCCGCTGTCCCCCGTGCTTCTGACGGCGCCCCACCCCTGCTGCTGCCCGTTCTCCTGAATTAGGGTTTGGGGGTGGGGGGTATGGGGGTGCAGTTTCTGTGCGTCGTCCCCTGCTCCTCCTCCTCCTCCGTCTCCCAGTGCTGCAGCTGCCGCTGAGGGGGGTGGGTGTGTGGGAGCCGAAGGAGTGGTACTAGGGGGGTGACGTGCAAGTGGAGTTAGGAGTGAAGCAGTGGGTGTGTGGGGGGTGTGTGGGACAGTTGTAGGAGGTTGAGCGGAGGCTGCTGTCTTGTCGTCCGCAGCACCTGTAGTCCGGGGCGCACTGTCCTGGTAGCCCAGAGAGTCTGCTGCGCCTGTCGCCCGAGGGTCCGTTGCTCCTGTAGCTCGTCGTAGCCCGTGAGCCAGTTACTCCAGTAGTCCGGGGCGCACTGTCCCGGTAGCCACTGTGCCAGCAGCTCCTGTTGCCCGTGTGTCTGCAGCTTCAGCCGCCGTCTCTCATCTTCTCTCCTCTCACAGTCCCTCCTCCTCCTCACTTGCCCGCTGTGATTACCTCTAGCTTTGCTTATAATTGTGAACTATTACTATGCTTGCTTGTTGTGCTGATTACACCCCACTTTGGCTATGGGGGTGTGTCAGAATGTTATAATTGTCTAGCCTGCAGTGGGGTACTCCATAGTGAGTACAGCCCAATTAGGGTTTGCTATATGTGTCCAACTGCTTGCTAGTGAACACCCTCCTTTCTTCATTCTTACTTTCTACTGCTAGTTCTGACACGACGGGCTGGGGCAGCCCGCACGAGCGACGCAACGGGCAGCAGGGGCGCACGGGCGGCGTGACGCGACTGGCAGCAGGGGCGCACGGCGCGACGGGCAGCAGGGGCGCGCGACGCAACGGGCAGCAGGGGCGCGCGACGCGACGGGCAGCAGGGGCGCGCGACGCGACGGGCAGGGCGTGCGCAGGGCGGCGCGACGCGGGGCAGGGCAGGGCGTGCGCGGGCAGCGCGACGCAGGGCAGGGCGTGCGCAGGGTGGCGCGACGCGGGGCAGGGCAGGGCGTGCGCGGGCAGCACGACGCAGGGCAGGGCGTGCGCGGGGCGGCGCAACGCAGGGCAGGGCAGAGCACACGCTAGGCAGCGCAACGCGGGGCAGGGCAAGGCAGCGCGGCAGCCAGCAGGGCGGAGCGCGGGAAGGGTAACGCGATTGGTGGGGCAGCGCGACGGACACGTAGGGCGCTACGGGCAGGGTAACGCGCTACGGGCAGGGAACTATTCGGTGGGCCCTAAAAAAAAACGGTCCTAGGTCAGGACCTGCTCTGAAACCATGTCAGGATAATGAACGAGAATGAATGAACTAGCAGCATGCAGGAGTACAAGTAGCAAACCCTAATTGGGTTGTACCCCATATGGGTACCCCACTATAGCCTACACAACATGCAACATATAAGTTTGACACAATAGACCCGGGGTCTAATCCTATGCGAAATTAGAATTTCGAAGTCATATATTCCAGCAACAGAAGCGAGAATTTTAACGTTGCGTCAGGGAAAATCCTGACCACCTCATGACGCGAGGCACGCGCGCAGTCAAATTCTGCAGTCAAATCTCGCTACAGTTGCCTGTCGCTTCCTATAGTCTCGCTAGGAATAGAAGTCTATAGAGTGAGGGGGGTCTAATCCGTATTCGTTACAAAAAGGGGGGTCTATTACGAAAGTGTATATAGCATTAGCCCCCCCCCCCCGATTTAACGACCCGGGGTCTATAAATTTGGGGGGTCCATTACCCGAGTAATTACGGTACGTTATTCTATCAACGAACGTCGTTAGCTGGTTACTTTCTCCAGAAACGGCAAGCCAAATTTAAGAAATTTAGGATGTTTGGTGATTTGACGCGCCGTAAGCGAATGACTCAAAGGGGGTGCTATTTCTGCTTCCTAACCAAACCCAACCAAGCCCTTGTCGAACCCCTTGGGAACAGAGCTGTCGATTGCTCTGGGGCCAGAACTTGGAAGGCTGAGCTGCCCCGAAATTTGCCCTTAAATTTACGTTTTGGGGCCAAACTCAACACTTGAAATCAGGGCTACAAAGTGTCATGCACTTTTGCTAGACAAGAAATCACCCTGGATTTGCACTGCCCATCCGAATTGATTCTTCACGCGCCTGGCTAAATCACTGAATGAAACCTCTTAGCGGAAAGACGCCTAACCCACTCAAAATTGTAAGGGTGAGGTACTAGGACCTCTCCAGTACTTGTGTGTGTAGCTTCACCCAGATCTAGCACTAAGTATTCACTGGCCGCCCGTTGCATTCCCACTTCCTTGTTGCGACCTAAGGCAGAATCTTGGTTCTGTTCGCGGATAGAAAACTAAAGGACTGACATTCCAAGCGGAAACCTACGGTTTGTACTAGAACCACTTAAGGTTCTGAATTCAAAAAAACCAGTTCAGGTCCTGACCTCGAGAGTTCACAGAGCATTCGAAACTGGCTCTGGGAAGAGTTATACTGCACCCTGGGATGACGGGAAATGGGGCGGGTGGGGAGAGGGGAGGGAGGTACGGCGAGGAATCAGTTCGAAGGGGAAAGGGCTAGTCTCAAGACTCATACTTGAAATCCGGGTTAGCCCCGAGCACAGCACTTTAGCCAGACGGGCTGACCTGAAACCCAACCCTTAAATTCGGGGACCTAGGCCGAACTCAACCCTTAATGTTCAGGGCATTAAGGGCATTTGCCCTTGTAGCGACAGCCCTGCTTGGGAACAGCACCACCCTCGGCACTGTTGAAGCCGCTGTGGTCGCGGGAGTTGGTGCGTACAGTAGTATCCGTGTATTTCTTGTAATGAATGCGCTTCGTGACATGTCACCGCTCCACCGAAACAAGCGTAAACTCGGCCCCTCTAGCATCATCACGTTGCTGGGATCTTGCATGCTTTCCTGAGAGCCGTCGATTTTGACGCTGTAATGCAGCTAGATGCCTACGTGCGGCTCGGTTGGAGATGGGTGGGTGGGTCGTTGAGGGATTGTTGTTGAGTGCAAGCTGGTAGTTTTGTTTTGATTTATCATCATCCCACCTCATAAAACATTGGGTTATATTTTTCCTACAACCCCCACTCAGGTCAGCCCTCCGATCCGCCACACCTCCCTCAAGCCTATCACAATCATCTTGGTGAATGTCAACCCAAAGCATGTGGGAAAATTTTGTTTCGAATAAACGTTGCGCTTCCTTATCTACTCCGAGATAACAGCCAATACACAGTTTCTACCCCGCAACCCTCAACGAACTTTGGAGTTCGGACGTGGCATGGTTCACGGGAATGTCGTTGACTGCCCCCCCCCCCCACTTCCCTTCCCAGCAATCCAGCCCAGGGTGTTCCGCGTGGAAATGAGAAGAAAAGCGCCGAGTGGCCTGTCTAGGATGTTTGCTTCGACAGGAGAGACAGATCTCTTTCGCATGTCGGTCGGTGCACCGATGGATATGTGCATTCAGTTCGGTGACCTCGTCAATACGTGATACATTGTGCAGATTTTAGCTGATCACACCGCTCTTACAGCAGTTACCTTCGTGAACCATTGCAAGACTCTCACAAGCAGGAGCCCTCATTGAGAGCCCATTGCTCGACCGCGCTAGCAGGCACCGTCTTGATGGGCCATGGTCGTAGACATAGAACGGCGTTCCTGAGCGAGAGTACCGCCTGCGATAGTGGTTTCGCAGGAAGAGAGGGAGAAGACACAACCGATCAAAGCAGGCGCGCATAACTCGAGTTCAAACACAGACGAGCGCGACGGGGCGACTCTCTCCACGGCGCTTTGTCGCAGTGGTTGACGCGACGGCGCGCAAGGCGATTACAGCAGTGGACGGACAGCGAGGCGCTACGATTAGAAAGAGCAAGACGATCATCTGTCTCCAGCAGCAGCAGCAGAGATCCGCTGCCGGCTCGAGCGACGGAGGCACGCGGCCTACGACGAGCCACCTAAAGTATCACTACAGAAACAGCCTCACCACGAGACCTCTTTGTTCTCGTCGCCGAGTTTTAGCTTCCCGAGAGACCTCGTTCGCGCCTGCAGTCTTGCGGAACTGGGAGTATGGCTCGGGTGAGATCCGGTTTGCGCGCGGCGCGGGTGCTGCTGGCGCTGCTACTAGCGGTGGCCTGCAGTCTGCGGTGCGCCGTGTGCGTTCAAGGTACGATAGATGGGAGCACGCGAGGGGATGAGATGAGGAACAGCAGCACGGGTGAGGTGTATCGGTTGCGGAGAAACCAAGGATAGGGCGGCGTAGCGACGAATGAAGCGAAGAATGACGGAGATGATGGGTAGTGGCGCGGAGGGACGGACAGTAAGGATGAGCAACCAGGGATGACAGGAAATGCTCTTGGTCTAGTGCACAAACCTCGTTTATCCTCGCTAACGCTGACCTCGTTAACGTGTCGCCATCCGCGTGTCTTTAGTCGTTAAGGCTGACCTTATCTCCTTCTCCCCCTCCTTGTCGCACATCCGCGCATCTGCGCCCATTTGCTCCTTCAAATCATTCCAACCCCACCTCCCTACCGCCCTCCTCACCCCGTACCACCGCTCTCATCGCAGCTGAACCACTTTCGCTTTGCCTCCGCTTTTTCCCCTCCTTCCCCCTCCCTCCTCGCAGTGCCGACTGCCCCTAAGAAGGCGCTTTACATCGTCCGCCTTCGATCCGCTCCCCCGATCACCGGCTATCGCGGCGGCATTGGTAGCTACCCCGCTACCGGCCCCCCCGCACCTGACGCCGCCGGTGACGGCGCTGCTGGCGACGAATCCGACTCGCAACCTGCCGCCGCCGCTCCCGCTCCCGCCTCCAGCGCCGCTGACTCAACCGCGTCGACCGCCACGTGGCCGAACACCACTGGCTTCGCTGCCGCCAGCGCCACGCCGGCCGGGGCCGCGGGGGCGTCGATCTCCCCGCAGGGCTTGGGCGCGCGGAGGGGGAGGTGGAAGATCAACCCGCGGCTGCCGCACGTGCGCGCGTTCGGGAAGTTTCTGAAGGCGCAGCAGGACAGCCTGGCGGCGGAGATAGGGGCGACCGCCGTTTACAAGTGAGTGCGCGCGCTGCGGGCGATGGCAGCTGCACGAGCCGAGGCACCGCACGGGATGCCTTGGCATGGCATGGGAAGGCGCGGACAAGGCAATGCAGGCTGGTGTGCTGCACCCCTCACTAGCTCCAACCGCTCTCCCCCCGCTGTAGTTAACTACCTCTGATCCCCCACTCCCCCTCGAAACGCCTCTGATCCCCCACTCACTTGCCCCCCTCTTCGGCCCCTCTTCTCCTTCCCTCCCCCCCCCCCTTTCCCCCTCCCCCCTCCTCCCCCCCCTCCTCCCTCCCCCCTTCCCTCTCCCCCCTTCCCCTCCCTCCCCCTCACACACCGCCTTCCTCTTTCCCCCCCGCCCTTTCCTCCCCGCGTGCCAGTTTCAAGTTCGCGAGCAACGCGTTCGCGGCGCTGCTGACGCCGAAGCAGGTGTGGCGGCTGCAGCGGCACCCGGACGTGGCGCTGGTGCGGCGCAGCGGCGTCGCGAAGCGGCTCGGCGGCATGCCGTCGACGTCGTTCCTGGACCTGCAGCGCACGGCGTGGGCGCAGGCGGGCGGCGTGGGCAGCGCGGGCGACGGCGTGGTAGTGGGCGTCATCGACACGGGCATCTGGCCCGAACACAAGATGTTCCTAGATGACGTGAGCGCGGGGAGGGGGAGGTGGGGTAAGAGGGGCGGAGGGGAATGGCGGAGGGTGGGAGCGTTGGGCGATGGCGTGGTGGTGGGCGTCATCGACACGGGCAGGGGGGGAAGGACGGATTTTCGCGGATGACGTTAGCGGGGACGGGGGCGGAGA